ACGTTATGAGTTTTCTGGAGCATTTCACTAATTTGCATCCTGTTTCCACATTACCCCTATTTATATGATTTCTCTCCAGTGAGAACTTTTACAGATCTTTGAAATGATTTGTTAAAATTTAAAACTGTGATTTTCTGCAATTTCCATGAGTAAATATCAGCCCCAGGATGAGAACCTGTGCAACCTTATTTTTTTTCACAGTTTCTATCTTATGCTTTATTTTTTTAAATTTTTGTGCGTTTTACAACACATATATTGTTACAGTGGGATTGCTATATAATGACCAAATAAAAACTACACATTGAAGTTCGAGTTCATCTTCAAAATTCAACCAGAATCTGTGAACGGACTTTTGGTTTTGACCAAGTGCCACCTTTCACATCCTGAGCCTCTGAGCGATGAGTGGTCCTGTGAAAGCATAGATCATTGTCCTGTCTCAGTATAACAGCAATGATTCTATAAAGGCGGCGTGCAACTTAGCGTCATTATTTTTTCAAACATTTCATTGAAATACAGTATACATATCCAGAAATGCATATAAGTGTTCCAATCAGTGATTGCTTTTTAATCTTCTGAGCACTCACAACCAACACCCAAATGAAGAACAACACAATACTAGTAGCCCAAGAATGCTCACTATTTCCCCTCTCTGTTTCTTTTCTTTAAAATGTGGGGGAAAGAGTGTTGAGCTGTAGCATCCTCCTACTACTCACGCAGGAGGCCATTTAAACACCTGGTGTAACTGTGGCCTGTATGTTTCCAGACGAAGCCCATGCATTCCACTCTGCCCTGTGTCACACCAGGCTACACACACAGCACAACGGCAGCCAGCTCGGAGGGCCAGGCTTGAACAATTCATGTGGGAGCTTTTGCTTTAAAGTGAAGATGATCAAGTCAGGAGCTCAGTCAGAGGAGGGAGCTCACCCCAGCAAAGGAACCTGAACTCCATCCACACGGAAAGCTGAAGGGATTAACCACAAGTAGTCCCTGAAGAAGACACTTCACCCAACTCCTCCAATACCAGAAGGGCCTGTGAGTGGAAAAGGGACCGTTTACTTTAGATGGTCATAGGGTTGAACACGTACAAGGACACAGCCTTTGGCCCAGCAGTCAGAGTGGGAGAGGGACTGTCCTTTACAGGAGGGGCCTGCACGGCAGAGTGTTGCCAAGGGGCCTCCAGAGAGCAGAAGGCACCTGGAAAAGGTGGCGGCCACCAGCCCTGTGCACGATGATGCCCCAGCTTAGCGGATGATGTGCTTGGCACCTCCCGACTTACAGAGAAGGCCTCGCTACAACCATTCCGTATTGTCTGAGCCCTCTTCCTCCCCTCACCCCTGCCCTAGCTCCATGATCAAACAGGGGCAGGTGCCCAAGCCAAACAAAGTTGTCAGATATTCCATCCTGGGCAGTAGGCAACAACTAAGTGGCTGACCCCACATCATATAAATCATATAAACATGAAGACTTTCCAGTGGCCAGGTTCTGCCAGGTTGCCAGAGGGACAAAGAAAGTAGGCAGCTGACCCAAAGAGGATGCCCCAGAAGAGCCTTCCAGGTCCAAGCACAAGACCTCGTTGGGTCCGGCCAACCCCATGCTCCTGATTGCAGGCAGATGCTCTTGTATCCTTTAAGAATGCTCCCCAGGAAGTTTTTGACACTTGTATCTAAAAAAGTCCTGATGAAGACAGCAGCTGGACCATAAGGTCCCTTCCCTCCCAGGGCCCATGCCAGCACAGCCCTTCGAAATCAGTTCCTGAACAATAGTGCCTGTGTTGAAATACATTCCTGAGAGATGAGTCCTGGAGCTTTATCTTTCTACTCTCATTTGCTGGCCAGGCAGGGAGCAGAAGGCCCTGAGCGGAGCAGAACTACAGTTGAGGTCACAGCAGAGATTAAAAGGAGCCATGGACACCTACAGGTCCTTGAGCCACATGGACACAGAGAGACACTGGTGATGGTCTGACTCTTTCCCTTCCAAACTAGACTCCTGAAAATCAAAAGAGAAAGCCCTGCATGGAAGAGGGAAGAGAATGCTGTCCTCAAGGCTAGAAAGACAGTGGAGGGGCTGGCAATGTGGCTTAGCGGGTAAAACCACTGCCTGCAATGCCCACATCCCATATGGGTGCTGGTTCGAGTCCTGGCTGCTCCACTTCTAATCAAGCTCCCTGCTATGGCCTGGGAAAGCAGTAGAAGATGGCCCAAATCCTTGGGCCCCCTGCACCCACGCGGGAGACCTGGAAGAAGCTTCTGGCTCCTGGCTTCAGATCGGCGCAGCTCCAGCCATTGCAGCCATCTGGGGAGTGAACCAGCAGATAGAAGATCTCTCTCTCTCTCTCTCTACCTTTCTCTCTCTCTCTCTCTCTCTCTCTCACTCTCTGCCTCTGCCTCTCTGTAACTCTGCCTTTCAAATAAAATAATTAAATCTTGAAAGAGAGGGAAAGAAGGAAGAAAGGAAGGAAGGGAGGGAGGGAGGGAGGGAGGGAGGGAGGGAGGAAGGAAGGAAGGAAGGAAGGAAGGAAGGAAGGAAGGAAGGAAGGAAGGAAGGAAGGAAGGAAGGGGCGGGCATGTGTTGCGAGGACTGTGAGCCCCCATGAGCCAACCCAGTGCTTATGGATCCCCCAGCCCTCCTGGAGCAGCTCCCAGCAGAGCCCCCCCCCCCAACCCGCCCTTGTGCGAGCCCTGTGGTACTGTGCAAAGCCCCCAGCCGAGATGCCCCAGACAGGCCCCAAATGGGCTAAGGTCCCTGACAGGAGGAGCCACAGCAGTGCACAAGCAAAACCCTACCCCGCTCCGGCACTGACAGTTCATCAAGTTCCAATGGCAGAAATTGAAGACCATTAGGTGTCCCCTCTCCCTGCCCCATGCGCCTCCACTGCTTCCTCTGCCTCCTCCTGCCTTCAGAACCTGCGTCCTGCCATTAACAGCATCACCCCTGCACTCCTGCAAGGCCAAGCCCTTCAAACAACAACCTTCCCTGTGGTCCTCCCAAAGCAGAGCACTCTTCTCCCTTACCCAGGATTCCCCGCCCAGGCCAGGGGCTGCATGGTAACCCCATGTTGCTTCCAGACCTCTTTGATCTGCTCCCCCCCATAGGAACCCCTGTCCTTGGACGCTCACCACTCTGTGTCCATCTCCATCACTTCACCTGTCCGCTTCCCAGGGCCTCCCACCGTCCCTGACTCGGGCATCTGCCTGCTAATCTTCCCTCTCACTTCTGGTGACCTCAGCCTCCCACCAGGATACACCCAAGTCCCATGCCTCACCTTTCCTGGCTACTTCCAATGCGACTGCCTTCAGCTCCAAGCCCCCCGGCCCCACCTATGGCTGCTCCTCTTCAGCTTCACCATTCACACCCTTAACGTCTTTCCTCTACTGCAGGTACCTTGAACTCTATCCTTCACCTCCTTGCATTGCAGCTCTGCCTCACTCCCTTTCACTCATTCTCCCACTGAATTAAGACCTCAATCCCTGAGCCTCCTTAAACTGCAATCTCACACCCTGCAGCATGCACATCCCCTCTCTGCTGCCTCGACAGCCCGCAGACTCAACATTGACCAATCGCCTGCCTCTGCCCCACCCCCACACCAAAGCAGCAACAGGGAGTCCCCACAACCTATCTGATCAGAGTAGCAGGCACTGCTGTCAATCCTTGAGTCATCTTATATCAAGTGACAAACTTTTGCCCCTCCCTGACGATCTCCACCGGTCTGAGTTGGTGAAATGCTTTTAGTGGGCTCCTGCTGTCATGTTCCCAATCCCTAGGCACCCCGAGAGGCTCAGAGAATCTGTCCGCACTACCCCTTCTAGACGCCCCTGCCCCTCTAGTTTCTCAGTTTGCATCTTCTCCTTGTGCTGGCCAGACTTGAGTTATTCACCACTTCCACCCCAAACTAGACCTGTGCTGCTCCTCCCCACTAGGATGTCTTCCCGCACCTTCTCCACAGCTTCTTATCAGCTCAGCCTTCCAAATAATATCCAAACTTTCCTGGGAGAGCAGCATCTCCCACTCCCCCTATTTCATTGTCTTCCCGTGTTGGAAAGCAGAAGACTTGAATTCTCTTTCTGGTTTGCAGGTCGGCATCTGCACACCTGTAGACACAGGAAGTCTACAGATGAGACCAAGACACCGTAAAACACATAGATTGGTCTCTGCACACCAGCACTTTTCCCTGACGAAGCTCCTAAACCCTTGGACTGTCCGAAGTGAGGTGTCTTGTGTTTGCTGATGAGGAGACAGAGGGTTCTGGGTATCCCAGGATGGTGCTGGTTATGGGAGAACCAGCCAGTGATGAGAGGGTTGGGACTTGCTGCTTCACATAGCTCTGGGCACAGAGAAGGGGATGAGGGAACTACCAATAGCCAATCAAGCCTCTATACAAATCAAGAAGACAGGGTATGGAGGGCTTCTCGGCTGGCGACATGCTCACAGGACAGCAGAGTTGCACACCCAGTTGCACCAGGGGGACTGTGGTGCTCAGAACCGTCATCTGCACCCTCTGCCAAATGCTTTGTTCATCCTGTTTATCTGCACCCTCTATAGGATCCTTTATTCTATGTTGGTGAGCCCAGCAAATGCTTCTCTGAGCTCTAAGAGCCACCCTAGCAAATGACAGATCCCAAGGAGGGGCTGTAGGGCCTCTGATGTACAGCCTGTTTGTTAGGAAAACAGGGGATGGCCTGTCTTTGTGACTGACAACTTAAATAGGAGCAGCCTTGTGGGCCTGAGCCTTAACTTGCAGGATCCCACATTAACTCAGGGGAGATGGTGTCAAAATTGAATTCAATTGTCAGACATCCAGCTGGTGATGGAGAAGTGTCAGGGTGGGAAAATCTTCCCCATCTCCGGGGTCAGAGGTGAGGTACTGAGAGTGGTGTTTAATATTGAGAAAACTTGTTTTTCCTCTACACACCAAGTTCCTAAAGACTCTCCATGACCTCATCTGCTACTCACTGAGGATTATTGACAAGGATGATGACTGACATTCTTTGGTATGACCTCAGATCTGAGGAAATGGAGCTACCACAACTCCTGGACGTGGCTGTGCAGCCCCTGAGTGTGATTCTGACAACAGTGTGACAAAATCCTGTGGCCCGTTGCTCCCACCCATATGAGAGAGACATGGTAATGTATGATGTATGCACACAGTGGCTAGCAATGGGTCATTTGTTCTTTTGCTCAATGACCTTTCATTCCTGTCCTTAGCTTACCATGGTCAATTTGACTGTCATTGTTCTGTGGGGTGGGGGGGTGGTAATTTGGTGTACTTTTGTTTTATTGTATCATAGTTTGCATTTTGCCTGTCAGCAAAATTATAGAGATTTTAAGTAGAGGTTTGGTTACAAATTTGCAAGGTTTCTTTTAGAAAGGATACCATCAGGACATTTTTTGAAAATTTCTCAACAATCATTACTTTTTCTTTGAAACAGTATAACTTGTCCTTTGAATGGATTACTTTATCATTAGAAGATAAAACAATGATGAGATGAAAAAAACAGGGGCCCATGTGCCAGTTCAACTACTGACTCTGGATGTTAAAAATTAAAAATGTGAGCAAAACGTTGACTCTGGTCAATAAGTAGAACTTCATTTGAAGTTTTTTTCTAAAAAATAAAAAGTCAGTTTAAACTTTAATGATGAAGATTACTTAAAATATGGGCTTTATCTAACATACAAATCTTTTGAAATGACAGAATCCAGTGGATGTTTTAATTATATTTTTTTTCAATAAATCCCTCAAGAGTTTTTGAATAAGGAGGAAAAGACATCAACTATTGACAAAATTTCTAATTTGAGATGTGTTCAATGTATTGGTTAAGAATGAAACTTTGAAGTTATTTTCATAGGGTTTGAACTCTAGGACTTCCTCCTACAGCCCGTGAGACCTTGGACAAAATTACTCTCTGTACCTCATTTCCTTATTTATAAAATAAAAATAATAATGGTAATTAGCTCAGAGTGTTGCTGTAATGAGAGCGTATCTGAAGCCTCTAGAAAAGAGCTCATCCACAAGGAATGCTACATATAGCATTATGTATAGGTGTTTGTTTTTTATATTGTTAGTCATTCTACAACATGTAATAAGGAAGCCTTATTCTCATACACAGTTACATATTGGATAGCAAAAGAGAAAATGGAACATGCAGCTCCTAAAAAATATTATTCTTTCTGTATGTATAGATATATATAGTGTGCATAATTTTTTAAAGATTTGTTTATTTATCTGAAAGAGTCACAGAGAGGCAGAGGGAGAAAGAGAGAGACAGAGACAGAGAGATGGAGGGAGGGAGGGAGAGAGATTCACTCCCCAAATGTCTGCAACGGCGGAGCTGGGATGATCTGAAGCCTGGAGCCAGGAGCTTCTTCCAGGTCTCTCACTTGGGTGCAAGAGCCCAAGGATTTAGACCATCTTCTACTGCTTTCCCAAGCCATAGCAGAGAGCTGGATTGGAAGAGGAGCAGCTGGGAATAGAACCAGCGCCCATATGGGATGCCAGCACTGCAGGTGGCGGCTTTACCTGCTACACCACGGTGCTGACCCCAGTGTGCATAATTTTTAAGTAAAAATTAGAAGATAAAATTAAAATTCTTCCTCTTAGTGAAAACACGGTATCATTGTACAGAACAAGCAGGCTGCTATAGATTTTGAAATCCAACGTGAGGCTACTGACTCTACAAGAGAATCAGTACTTTCAGTTATATCAGATATATGTGGTAAGATAATTCATGGTGAATTTAATAAGTTTAATATCACATAACTGATTTAAAAACAGTTACAAAAAGATAAGAGTACATTATTGATCAATATGAATTAATCAACAGCACTGTAAGGGATGAAAAAGTCTAGTACAATAAATACAACTGGAAAACTTGGTGGAGTTGGATGCTATTTATAGTGGTGCTTTATGGAATCCATTTTATGTGTCTTGGGTGTGAGCATCTAAACATGTTCTCCCAAGTATCACAGACAAAAGGAATATTAAAGGTACCTCATGGGACAGGTGATACTTTATTTAGAGATTAGAGATAATCATATCCACATACTGTATCATTCCAAAATTTACTGGTTGTTATGAGGCAGGGTGCTAAGCAGCGCATATGAACTCTGTAATAAGATTCATATTTTTCTAGATAAAAAGCAAATCTTTTGGCAATTGTGTCAAAGGTGATGTTGGTTAACAAGATTGGTATATCTAACTGATTTTTTCAGCATTCTTAACAAGCTAAATTTGAAACCATAGAGAAAAGCCAACAAAATACTCAACATAGGGATTTCAGAAGACTTGATTTGCTTCTTAAGTAAGATTTAAGTAATCTCTCTATCTACTAAATGTTCCCAATGGTGTTATAGTGTATTAGAGAAAACATTACTAATAAATATAGGCCAACTTAAATAGAATTAGAGCTATTGTTACCAGTTCCCTCTGCTCCAAACCTGTAATTTTTAACTTTCTGGAAGAGACACTGAAATATTTAAAGAAAAACCACTTGGATTACAAATCCATTTTCTTTTCCAAACCCTGATTCGATGGTTGAGCTTAACTTGGTGTTGTCCAAAAAGGAGAAAATTGTTTTATTTTAGTCATTCAAACTCAAGAGCAATTACCAGACTTATGTTTTTCAAGATAAGAAGGTTTTGCTCAGCAAGGGAAACACTCAACAAAATGGAGAGCAACAACCAGAATGGGAGAAAATATTTACAAACTAAGCATCTGATAAAGGATTAATATCCAGAATATATAAGGAACAAAAGAAACTCAACAACAAATCAAACAATTTAGTTAAGAAATAGAAAAAGGACATGAACAGGCATTTTTCAAAGGATCAAATTCAAATGGCCAATAGACAAATAAAAAGATGCTAGAATCATTAGCCATCAAGGAAATGTATATAAAAACCACAGTGAGGTGTCACCTCACCTGAGATAGAATGGCTATCATCCAAAAATCAAAAAATAACAAATGCTGGTGAGGATGTGGAGTAGCCTAATACATGGCTGATGGGAATGTAAACTAGTGCAACTATCACAGAAGACATTCCTCAGAAATGTAAAAATCAATCTACCAGATGACCTGGCCATCCCATACCTGGGAATTTACCCAAATGAAATGAAATTAGCACATGAAATAGTTATCTGCACCCTCATGTTTAGAGGAGCTCAATCCACAATAGCAAAGACATATAATAAACCTTCTTAACCATCAACTGATGACTGGATAAAGAAAATATATATATACATGACTGAATACTACTCAGCCATAAAAAAACCAATCTTTTGCAACAAAATGTATGCAACTGGAAGCCATTATGCTTAATGAAATAAGCAAGACCCAGAAAGACAAATATCACATATTTTATCTGATGTGTGGTAGCTAATATAGAGAATACAAAAAATAATGCATATAATTGAAGTTGATATCTTAGGATTTGATTATTGTTTATAGCCCTTGACTATAGTCCTGATGGACAGAGAAGTGATGCCTGAGTCTGGCTGAGAGAATTGATAGGGGGCTAGGTGCCCACGTAGGACTATGAGGTGCCCCCAGACTCCCAGCACATCATGGTCTCTGGGATTTAGGCTGCCTGGGCAAAGTACCCACAGGCAGCTGGCTCTGGTAGTGTCTTCCACCTCTCTGTAGACAGGACAGAATGGCAGGGAAGAGTGGATCCTCAGCTTTCCATGACTGTGGGAGCCTTGTGTGCTGGGACTATGAAAACACTGTGGCTACAAAGGAGGACACAGGGTGTGGCTGGGTCTCTAGGCAGTCAGTGTGGGTGGTTTCACACGCTCAGGGCTCCCTGATTCCCTGGAAGTGTCATTGCTACAGGATCTGTGCTCACACCAAGGACTACATGGATCCATTGTGTGGTTTTTGTGGAAGCACAGATGAATATTATGCCCACTGGGGCTAGTGCCCAGGCATTGGTCACCCTGGAGGAGAGGAGGTGAGACTATGCTAAAGAGCTAATCAAACCCTCACCTCTTATTTAAAAAAAAAAAAAAGAAGATATTTACCATGCCCAACATAGGTGTCACCTTGAACACTCCCCAAACAATGGAGCATAGAACAGAGCTCCTTGGCCATAACCAAGACACACCTCTGGGTATTCACTGAAAGACAAGACACTCCAGGAAGGCACAGGGGCATAGTCCAAAGATAAAAGCCATCACAGGGGGAGAAAAACCAATAAGTGTCTCCATAAATACCTAAAAATAAATGCAGAAATTCAAAAAACAAGAATAAGGAAGACAACATGATATGCCCTCAAAGAGATATAACAACACTTCAATACAAGAATGTGAAGATGAAGATATTGAAGAAATGCCAGAAACAGAATTCAAAAAATTAGTCATATGACTACTCACAAGTAATCAGAAGCAAATCCATTAATTAAAGAAACCTATACATGACATGAATGAACATTTTCCCGTGAAATTGAAATTTTAAAGAGAAATCAAAACAATGTATTGGAAATGAAAAATTCAATAAATGAAATAAAAAATGTGATAGAAAGCCTTAACAACAGACTTGGTAAGACAGAAGAAGAATAGCTGAGTCAAAAAACAAATCTCTGGAAAGTTTACAATCAGATCAAAATAAAAGAAGAAGAAATTAGAAAAATTAAAACTAGTGTTGGAAATCTATGGGATACCATGAAACAACCAAAAATAAAGGCCTTAGGATTACTTGAAGGTGTGGAGAGAAAGAATGGATTAGACAATCTTTCTAGAGAAATAAATACAGAAAACTTTCTCAATTTGGAGGAAAAAAAGGGATGTCCAATTACAGGAAGCACATAGAACTCCTAATAGAAATGACCAGAGCCGGCGCCGTGGCTCAATAGGCTAATCCTCCACCTTGCGGCGCCAGCACACTGGGTTCTAGTCCCAGTCGGGGCGCCGGATTCTGTCCCGGTTGCCCCTCTTCCAGGCCAGCTCTCTGCTGTGGCCAGGGAGTGCAGTGGAATATGGCCCAAGTCCTTGGGCCCTGCACCCCATGGGAGACCAGGAGAAGCACCTGGCTCCTGCCTTCAGATAGGCACGGTGCGCCGGCTGCAGTGCGCCGGCCACGGCAGCCATTGGAAGGTGAACCAACGGCAAAGGAAGACCTTTCTCTCTGTCTCTCTCTTCCACTGTCCACTCTACCTGTCAAAAAAAAAAAAAAAAGGAAATGACCAGAAAAGATCTTCGCCACAACACATTGTAGTCATACTCCCCACAGTAAAACATAAAGAAAAGTTTCTAAAATGTGCACAAGAGAAATGCCTGCTTACTTTCAGAGGATCTGCAATTAGACTCACAGCTGATGTCTCATCAGAAACCCTATAGGCTAGGAGAGAATGGCAAGATATATTCCAAGTCTTAAGAGAAAAAGACTGCCAACCCTGAATACTTTCTGTACTCTGCAAAGCTCTCATTTATGAATGAAAGTGAAATAATGACCTTCCATAACAAACAGAAATTGAAAGAATTTGTCAACTCAACCAGCATTACAAAAAGATGCTTGAGAATGTCCTACACACAGAAACACAAAAATATGATCATCACCGTGAAAGAAAGTAAAGGCAGAAAATCTCACAGTAATAGTATAAAGGGAATACAAATGATAAACTGGCAGGACCAAGTTGTGACTTATCAATAATCACTTTGAATGTAAAGGACCTCAACTCTCCAGTTTGAAAGATACAGACTGGATGAATGGGTTAAAAAAAAAAAAAAAAACACCAAACCCATCTATTTGCTGCCTACAAGAAACATCTCACCAACAAAAATACATGCAGACTGACAGTGAAAGGATGGAAAAAGATGTTCCATGCTAACAGAAACCAAAAAAGAGCTGGTGTAGCCATCCTAAAGTCGACAAAATAGACTTTAACACAAAAACCATTAAAAGATATGTAATGATTAAGGGAACAATTCAAAGGAAGATTTGACTATAATAAACATATATGCACCCAATTATAGGATACCTGGCTATTTTAAAGAAATGTTAATGTATCTAAAGGAAGAAATAGATTCCAATACAATAGTAATGGGGACTTCAAAACTCAACTTTCAGCAATAGACAGGTCAACCAGACAGAAAATCAGAAAATAAACAACACAGCTATTCAATACTATAGACCAAATGGACATAACAGAAATCTATAGAACTTTTCATCCTACAGTTGCAGAATATGCATTCTTCTCACCAGTGCATGGAACTGTCTCTAGGATTGAACATACGCTAGGCCATAAAGTAAGCCTCAGCAAATTCAAAAAAATGAAGTCATACTATGAATCTTCTCTGATCACAATAGAATGAAGCTGGAAATCAGTAACTCAGGAATCTCTAGAATATATGTAAACACATGGAAACTGAACAACACACCCCTGAATGAACAGTGGGTCACTGAAGAAATCAAAAGAGAAATCAAAAAATTTCTGGAAATGAAGAAAAAAATACAACATATCAGAACTTATGAAATACATCAAAAGTAGTGTTAAAAGGGAAGTTTATAGCAATTGGTACCTACATCAAGAAATTGGAAAGGCACCAAATAAATGAGCTATCAATGCTTCTCAAGGACATAGAAAAACAACTGCAAACCAAACCCAAAATTAGTAGGGGAAAAGAAATAATTAAAAATATGGAAGTAAAGAAAATTGAAACAAAAAATACAAAGATCAGCAAAACAAAGAGCTGTTTTTTTAAAAAAATAAACAAAATTGATACATCTTAAGCCCAACTAACAAAAAAAAGAGGACCCAAGTCAATAAAACTAGAGATGAAAAAGGAAATACAACAACAGACACCACAGAAATAAAAATAATCATCAGGAATTACTACAAAGAGCTGTATGACAACAAAGCGCGAAACCTAGAAGAAATGGATACTTTCCTTGGAAACATACAGTCTACAAAAATTGAGCCATGAAAGCATAGAAAACCTAAACAGACCAATAACCAGGATGAAAATTGAATCAGTAATAAAGACCCTCCCCAGGGCTGGTGTCATGGTGCACTAGGTTAATCCTCTGCCTGCAGCACCAGCATTCCATGAGAGCACTGGTTCTAGTCCCAGCTGCCCCTCTTCCAGTCCAGCTCTCTGCTGTGGCCTGGGAAAGCAGTAGAAGACGGCCCAAGTGCTTGGGCCCCTGTACCCACATGGGAGACCAGGAAGAAACACCTCGCTCCTGACTTCAGATCGGGGCAGCTCCAGCAGTTGCAGCCATTTGGGGAGTGGACCAATGGAGGGAAGACTTTTCTCTCTGTCTCTCTCTCTCGCACTGTCTGTAATTATACCTGTCAAATAAATAAATAAAATCTTCTAAAAAATTAAAAATAAGTAAATAAATAAAGACCCTCCCAACAAAGAAAAGCCCAGGACCAGGTGGCTT